TTCGTCCCCTGAGGGCTCGTCGGCTCAATGGCTCGCCACAGCAGGGGCACTTTGGCAAGGATTTAGTCGTTTGGAGTTTCATTGGTGTGTGTTGAGCGCCACCACCTCATCTTTAAGCGTTGCGACTTCTTGGCCACGATGAGGCACCTTGCCTTCGGGAAGAATTGTTATAGTACTAAAAGAAAAAGCGAAATAGAAGTTAAAAGTTGAAACTGGGCCATTGTTATACAAATGGCTTTCCAGCTTTGGCTCCAAAACTGTAGGCGGAGGAACACCAGACGTTGGAAAACTGTTTCTGTGTTGCTTGTTAGCAGGAGCTGAATGGACAGACTCAAAGAAAATTGGAAAAACAGAAAATGGTGCAAACCAAGTCTATGATTGATAGGGTTAACGGCTGATTCTTGCTGAATTATTTGCCGAAAGATCGCACGAACTTCTGCTGGATGTGGATATCATTACAGGATGTATTCAATCATTGCGATATCATCTTTGGTAGTGTCAGCTGCGAGCAATTTTTGTCATGTTTGCGAAACACGCGCAGGAACATGCAGTAAGCAGTGCTTTTGAATTTGATGCGTTTTTGCTGTACAGGGTTATTACGCTGCGATACTGAGCATGTTGAGTATTCGGACTGCATTTTGCCACCCACTCAAAATTAGCGACTGGGGAAACTAAAATGCAGAAGTTTTGGGAGTGTGCTGCCACTCTGTGTTTGATTCTCAAATTTTAAAAACAGTTTTCACCTACGGCCAGGTCTCATGTACGCGTCCAATATATTTGAAGCAAAGAAGCGAAGATATTGCTTGTAACGAGAGATATTGCCCAATTATTCTTAGGCTGTCTTTCGGAAAATTATGCTTAGGTGCTCGGTATAAGGGGACTGGATTTATGTTAAAATACCTCCCTCCGCGTTTTGCTGAGAAGTGAAGACATTAAATTGCCCAATTGGTTCTGCGCTACAAATGGCAGCTATTATTTAGAAAGGTTATTGATGGTTTCTTCAAAATTTAGCCACAAAACATGTGTTCTTTTTAGACTGGCGATATATGCTCAAGGCTAATCCATGCCCGGCGAATTACACACATTTTCCATTTGCTGCATCATGTTACAAGGTACAATACGGGCACCGGGAAAATTGCATATTTAACAGCCAGATCATTTTCAGTGAACGACCGTTCAACAGAAATTTTTGATTTTCTTTTATTCGAAATTTGCGTTTATTTACGCTGAGTACATAAACTAAATATAAGCAACGACCGTTCATACTGTTAACGACCAATAGCATCAAGCTTAGTACAACCCAGGCTGGAGCGCACCGGGCGGGCCGTGCGATCGCACGTTTTTGCACCGGATTTGAGGTACTTAGATCACTAACTGCATGAATTGTTTACACCTGCCTTTTGCGGTAACTAGCATAAATCATCATAAATCTTGCATAAAGTAAATTTGTAACTTTAGTAACCTAGCTATTCAGCGACAAATTGTTCCGCCAAAACTTTTAAGGGCCTGTACTTAAGAACCACGCATACTTCAAGGCTGAATTTGAAATAATTAAGTTGACTTGGGCAGGGAACATTACCCTAAAATTTCAGCTTTCTAGTTTTACTGGTTCCCGAGTTAGCAATTTTCCTGCCAAAACTTTCACATGTCCTTACGTTGGTACTCCACATGTCGGGAAAGCTGAATTTGCAATTTTAAAATTTCACGCGAGCAGAGAACATCGCCCTAAAATTTCAGTCTTCCGACTTTTCTGGTTGCCGAGTTAGTAATTTTCCTGCGGAAACTTTCATACGCCCTTACCTGAGTATACGCATAGTTTGAGGCTGAATTTGAAATATTTGATTTCTACTTGGATAGGAAACATTTCCCAAAATTTCAGCTTTCTGGCTTACCTGATACCCGATTTAGCAATCTTCCCTCTAAAAATTTCGTACGCCCTTACATGAGTACCACGTATACCTGGGGGCTGAATTTGAAATCTTTAGCTAACACATACACAGTGAATATTCCTACAAATTTTTAGCCCCTTAATTCTCGTAGTTCCCAAGGTCGTTTTCTCGCCAAAAAATTTGCATATTTTTTTAAAGTGCCCGTACGCGGCATCCAGGCGTCCCTGGGGATGAAATTAAAACGGGAGGGTTGCGCATGGTATGGACACTCCCAAAGTTTCAGCCTTCTAGCTTTTCTGGTTCTCGAGTTGAAAGCGGGTGACAAAAAAGTGTGTTGAAAGCGGGTGACAAAGGTTTCAGCATTCTAGCTTTTTTCGTTTCCGAATTAGCAATTTTTTCGCCAAAACTTTCACGTGCTCGTACGCGGGGCCGAGACGTGCATGAGATTTGACACCGCGGTCCTGGGGCGGCATTTGGCTGGAAGACATACTGGCAAAATTTCAGCTTCAAAGCTTGCATGGTTGGCGAGTTGAAATACTCAGACGAATACACACGCAAACAAACATACACACACACACACACACACACACTCATACACTGACAGGGTCGTTGCAATATGTGTTTTTGCTGCCTATGGCAGCGCTGTAGCGCTGCACGGCAAAAACGCATAAAAATCGTTGTTTACGAATGACTGGGTTACTTACGAGAGTCTAAGTGATAACAAGTGCCAGTAGAAACCATTTACTATTAGGAAATTAATGAAGCCCTCGTTCGAGAGACACGTAGAAGTATACTGATGGCGAGTATACTGGTCGTATACTGAACTGATTGTATAGAAGTATACTGATCGCAGCATCCGTAAATACCCTTTTTCAGGTTTATGCATATGAAACTTTTATTACACAAAGCAGTGCCCGAAAAATTTGCTCTGCGGATGGTGGTGAGTTGGCTTCGATTCACAGCGTAGAGGAAAATAATTTTGTTAACGGTATGTTACTTTTGGTTTGTAAAAAAAAACAAATTTTATTTTTCTTCGAAATTTTTCGTTACTGCTAACTGCGCAGGTTTGGGCTGGAACTCGCTTTGTGAACGAAAAGCTGAAAAAGTTTGAAGGCAACGTTAGCTAAGAGTTAATTGCAGAAGTCTGCTACTGCGAATTTTTGGGCAGTGAATCAGAATCTTCAAAATAATTTTTTTCTTTAAGTCGTTTCGTACACATTTTTTAATCTTACGCTTCATTTTTTCATTCTGCCTAAATCTTTTCATTTTGGTCTTGGAAAAGCTGAAATTTCGCGAGAATATTTCTATGCCCAAGTGCGATCGAAATATTTTGTGTTGAGCCTTAAAGCATGTCTAGATCTCAGTTAACTCGGTGCATAGGCGGAGAACGAGCAGTATTTTTCTGGGGATGTTTGCAGTCCTCATACGGGACACCAAGCGTAAGATGTGCTTCTCCCTCAATACGGGTCGTGTTTACAGACGCAACAAATGTAAAAGTTGCAGCAGTGGATGTGAACACAGGCCAGTAGTACAGTTAACCTTTTTATAGCATCAAACAATGTAAAAGCACGTGATCATACCAGCCAGCCTGGTGCGTCACCACTTTATGCAGGATGCAAGAATGTATGTCAACTTTCTGCAAAAATGTCTAAATTTCTTAAAAACAAGTTAAATCGTCAGAAACAATTAGACATTGCAGAGGCACCCATGTTCTTAATAAAGCAGTGTGTTTTTCCGTGACTTAGGAAAGGAAACATTCGAGGCGAGTGGTGTTGCTAAACGTGAACCAGTGTCACATCGAGGGATTTACAGCTTTGTAAATACTTCTCTCAGGGCAACCGTTGAGCTGGAAATTTTTTTAGGAAGTGAAGTCGTTGCCACGTTCGCAAGCAGCGCGAGCATCATTGGGCAAAGAAAAAGAAAAAATCATGGAGAACCGCGTTGTTAAACTGCAGCTGATTAAACTACCTAAATATGGTACTAAATATTTTTGAGTTGTTTTGCAGAGCTTGCGAGAAAAACACCAGGCGCTAACGACGCTGTATATATTGGATTGATGTCGAAGCGAGAAAATGTGAGCGCACGTTACTGGACAGATGGAACGCCGTTAGACTTTACGGCTTGGGGGAAAAACGCCCCGACGAACAAAGCCTATTTTGTTGATGGCTGTGTCGCTACCTTTCCACATTCTGGCAACATTTGGGACGACTGGACGTGTGACCAGTTGACGAGCAGTGCAATTTGTCGAATTTCTCTCTGGAAGTGCGAGTGACAGGGCTGAAGTGAAATAAACTTACAGTGTGACGTGATACGATACGTTTATTCATTAAACAAGACATAGCTGTGAGAAAGCATTTTAAAAAACACTTATAACTTTGAGAAGACATTACCGAAACTTTTAAAATCCAAACACGTCTACAGTCAGGGAAGGGCAGTGGAATTTAGGCCATGTGCAACTACTGTGCGCAAAACTAGGGATGGTGTAGATAACTCCATTATTGTATCTGAGGGAATGAATTCTGTTCCTGATTCTCGGAGGCGTGGATTCATGTGCATGGTGGTAACAGCTATTTGTTCATCAGGAGTTCGGAAAAAATCGTAAAATTAGAATACTCGGCTCCTTTTTAACTTTTTTTGGAGCATTTAAAATTTTTCTTCTGTTGAGAGGATAAGATCGAAACTACGCTCTTGTTCGTAGTAGAAAATCGAAACATGTTCAACGATTGCAAGCTAGCCATTTGATATATTCGATTTCAAGCAGTTACTGAAAAATAAATTACAGTCATGAAAATCTGCAAATATTGCTCTTTACTATCGTGAGAAAAAGTAAAATCTTGATGAAAATTTTCTTTGAGAAAACAGTTAGGATCGCAAATTTTCGGGACTTGAAACGAAGCAGGGAGCTGACTAAAAGGCGATACATCAGTGCAGATGTTTCCAGCTGCACTGAAGAAAAACTATGGAGTGAAAAAACACGTGTTTCAGGTAAATTCGTAGTCACACAAGCAATCAAATCTTCTATCAGTAGAGCAGTTTACAGATGTCCTTGCCTGTGCACAAAAAGTCAAAACTGAACAGGTTGTCGTGTTGCTCGTCTACCTGATGATGATCGGTGGATGTCGTAAAAGAAAATGATACTCACAAGAAATTAAATGATCGCCTCATCATTTTGTGAAAAATTGCTAAACGAGGCAAGCAACTTAAGATCAAACTGGCTAACATATGATTTGTAAGACCAGTACCGATATCCTCTACCAACTGGCCGGGTAGACTTGTCAAATTTCGATAACAGCATTCATAGCTACATGCATCCCCCTGCCTCCTCCCCTCTGTCTTCACTCATTTTTCCGTCTTCTCCCTTGCCCTAGCATTACTTTGGTTTTATGCAATTTGATATACGCTCATCTTATACTTGACGGGTAGGAGGCAAGGAGTACGTTGTACTATGCGATATGGAGAAGAGCAAATAACATCAAAAAAACAGACCAGGCCTAGACGTGCTCGAAGAGTCTGGCGCAGCCACGCCTGTATGTGAAAGCATCCTAGTAACATGTCTAACACAGACATCCCAAATCAACTGTTTGTCGATTTTGTAGTGCTGGTAAATAATATTCATAAAATTTCTTAGCTTGTTTTGTGCCGAAGAAACTCGCGAAACATTTTCGGTTTAAAAAAGTGGCCGTTGTTTTTTCGCGGTTCAATCGTTGCTTCAAATTTACAAAAGTGCCTGAATTACAATTAATAAGCTTTGATAATACAAAATAGAAGAATAGAAGAATTCCACTTGAATGTCATGTGTTTGAAAACATTTTATGACGCAGTCTGTGTTTCATCCCTAAGCTGTATACACAGACCGAACAGTGCATGCGGGTAGGAGTGGGAATCATCAGTACAGCCTCCTACCCGTCATGTTTTGAATAGTCATGTGTCTAATTTGCAAGACAGGTAACAGAAAGAAATAGATGTAAGTGAAGGGATAAACAAAGTGAGAAAGGAATTAAAGAAGAGGAATAAAATCGTGAAAGAACAAACGGAAAGGAAGGAAAGCAGGGGAGCTGAAACACGACACAGAAAACCATTATATTTAATTATTAGAAAGAGCCGTTTACGAGAATAGATTGCTAACTAGGCGTTTAATTTCCGAATCTTCAGGGAAGATGAATTTGCTCAGTACTGATCGGTTCCTGAAGCAAAATCTGAGAACGGAGCGTTCT